TTCAGCCAGAATTTATCATGGATAAGTACTGCCCTCTGCTGCACTGCTTAGGATTTTGCAGTGGAAAAACGAAATTAAGTCCCCAGTGTAAGGATTTTCATGTGAATCTGAGTTGCAGAACAGGGCCTTTATTTTCTGCAGCCCTTCATGCATACTGTATCCGAAAATGTTTTACAGGTTCACAATACAAACAGCAAATGGACACAAAACAAGAAGCAAATACAAAGGAGAATAAATGTTTGGTACAAAGATATTTTGTTAAAGCTTCATGCTAGCTTTCAAACATTAATTTAAATCTGATAAAAATGAAATGAACACAAACTGGGGCCCATCCAGGAAATAAGTAAAACAGAGCATTAGGTCAGAGATTCATTCCATATCAAAATTCATACTCTGCATTAATGCTTAAGTGCATCATTTAACAAAATCAGAGTTTATACATTGGCTCAGTTTTCTTTCCAGCCATTTAATGTTGTTTTCTGTTGATTGCTGTGTTTTAATTTAACAAAGGTTTTAATTTAACAACAGTGATACCAGTTTCACCTTTAGAAGTAACAACAAATGATAATGTAATTATGAGAGAGGGGCTTTGGGTAAATGTCAAATTCCAGATGGTGGGTATTTATTGAATGTAAGGAAGTTAAACCAAGATCTTTAAACAGCGATTTTCAACCGGTCGGTGGACCCCTGGGAATCTGCAGACTATGTCTAAGGTTTCCAAAGGGGTCCATGCCTCTATTCAAAATTTTTTAAGGGGTCTGCAAATGAAAAAAAAAGGTTGAAAACCATTGTCTTACAACACTCTTCCAGACACAAGTAATTTGGAAACTCTTCAGACTTGTTAAACTTAATGTAGATACCAGATTATCATAAATGGTGTGTGACTAACTCAAGTTACCTAAAGTTCAGTCAAGACCATGGACCTACATTTTATTTGCCATAAATTGAAATGTGTACAGACATCGTAACTGGTTTGGTCCCCAAATCCTTTTACTACACCAGCCTGTTTGAGGTCTAATAAAATAACATAGTATGTATGTGTTTCTGCTAATTATGTTTTTATACTCATAATAAAATATTATCAGGTGGACTTAGAGAGTCAGGCTGGAAAAATGTTATGTAATTAGGGAAATTATAAATTAAATGCTGGAAGCCTCACATTCTTCAGTAAACAAATCTGACATACTGGAACTCTAGCTAAATCTCTGCAATTCAAGAACTGTGTTTGACCAGATTCAGGGCGACAACTAAGAAATAAAACAATATATTTATTCATATCACACACGTTCCAACTTCACAAAACGTTGACAACTATGAAAATGGGGTGCTAATTGTGACCGGCTATGGTTAAGGTTGCATGACACTTCCCATAGTAATGTCACTTCCAACTGTTTGCAGCTTTAGAAAATTATTACCTTTCAGGCTCAAAATCTCAATGCTAGGCTTACGTCCAAGGAGCATTTTATTGGGGGGGAGGGGAGAGAGAGAGAGAGAATAAGAAAATGTTCCTCTGTTTGAATGTATGACAAAAAATACTCTTTCCTCATAATAAAATAGTTCAGCTTTATAGAAGTAACAATTGAAGGTAGAAAGCGGATATTTGGCTTGGAGATAGTCCTAACTGAAGTGAATGTCTTTAAGCCTTTCAGAAAATTAGCTTTGTTTTTCTGGAGTTATGAGCCTTTGAAAATCATTCTGTGAAATGCAGAACGTTTTGCCTGGGTAACTCCTAAGTTCATAAAGGAGGCAGCTAAGAAGGTCATACTCTGTTAGCTGGAAAACTAAGTTACAGCTGCATGTTCCACTCCTGTCCCTATAAAAATACCCTCTCCAAGGAAGTGTGCACAGGTTTGGGAGTCTAGTGGTCTAAAGTTCTGTTCCTATCTCCCCAGCTGATTGGCTTTTATTCTCTGCCCTTATTTATTGAAGCCTCATACACTTTGGAAAGTAATACATACTATCCATCTTTTACAGAGAGTAACTGAAGCGAAGCTAACGTTTTCAGAATTTGCCTCTTTATTTTGGGTCCCCAATGTTAGACTAAGTACCTAGATATTCAGAGATGCTGAGTTTCTGGATCTCAGATTGGACTTCACCTGTTATATAATTAACAATGCAAAGACACTGCAATCAGGAATAGGGAGCTTTTTTGTTAAGTGTTATACATAAGGGTGTACTGGCTCTTTAAAGACTGCCCAAATCAAGGCCCAGTACACTCCTGTTACTGTTAAAGCCCACATCAAATGCATTCCGGGACATGCAAATTCTAGGGTGCTTAGGCTGAGAGCAAAAGCTTCTTGGAAAGGGGTTAGGACAGGGGTGGGCAAACTTTTTGGCCTGAGGGCCACATCGGGTTGCAAAAAGGTATGGAGGGCCGGGTAGGGAAGGCTATGCCTCCCTAAACAGCCTGCCCCCTATCCGCCTCCTCCCACTTTCCACCCCCTGACTGCCCCGCTCAGAACCCCTGGCCCATCCAACCCCCACTCCCTGTCCCCTGACCGCCCCTTCCCGGAACCCCCTATCCCTAACCGCCCCCTGAAACTCCACCCCCTATCCACCGCCACCCGCCCCTTTTGGAATGTGGCCCTGCGAACATGGGCAGAGGACTCAGGAGGAGCAGGGGCAGCCGCGCAGCCAGAGAGAAGTGGTGTTTTCCCCTTCAAATCTCCGCTTCTCTCCGGCTGGCTGCGCGGCTACCCTGTGCTACTCCTGAGTCCTCCGGCCATGTTCCCCGCGTTCTCCCGACCCCTGCCTGCTCCCCTGCCCCCACAGTGTAGCCCCTCCCCCCTGTGGAGGGTGCGCCGGTGCTGAGCTGCCCGAGTGCCCGGCCCTGGGCCCCCTGTTGTTGAGGGGCCCTCTGCCAGGGCACCCTGTGTTCACTGGTAAATCTGCCCCTGAGCCGCGCTGCCTGGCCAAAGCCAGCCATGCTGCCGACACAGCGAGCTGAGGCTGCGGGGAAAGGGGGACAGCAGGGGAGGGGCCAGGGACAGCCAGAACCTCAGGGGCCAGGCAGGACGGCCCCGCGGGCGGGATGCGGCCTGCGGGCCGTTGTTTGCCGACCTCTGGGTTAGGACCATAAGTAACCTTCTCAGAATAGGGAGAGAACATGAAGTGAAGTGACTCCAGCTGAGAGGAAACCATGGAGAGAGCCTATAAGGAAAAAAAAAAAACTTGTGGAATAGCCTAAGAGGAGGGCAAGAACTCTGGGAAGGGATGTGTGTGTTTAGTAAAGAACTGCCTGTGAACCCCTGCACCATGAAAGTTTAGTAATGCACCAAGGGCTGAAGGTTTGTGGACTTCAGTTCTGTTGGACTCTTGTTTACCTCAAAAAGGGAAGAGGTAACATTTTGCCAGAGGGCTAAACTACCCTACCAGGAAGAGTGTAATTGAGACAACGACCATGCTTAACTACAGAGAGATAAACCACTACAACTATATTATATGGTCACTGCCTCTAAGACCTTACAAGCTACAGTAATTAAGACAGATGCAACCAGTTTCACAAACAATAGGGTACAGAAGGGTAGATAGGAAGAATGAGTTTTAAAAGGATAGCTCCATATTTACAAAGGCTTGCTAGTGCACCATTTGACGAGTCCAATTCAATTGTAAACATTTTGCCTATTGTTTTTAAAACATTTGCCCATTTCCGTTTCTCTAAAACTTCTACCATTGCCTATTTCCTTTTTTAAAAAAAGTTTTGCTTATGAAAGTTACCTAGAATACTCTCTCTCTCTCTCTCTCTCTCTCTCTCTCTCAATTTCAACGTACAGGTTTTTTTAAACATGTATTTCAGATCATTTTTATATCTTTGCGTGGATGATTATAACGACATGAGTTAGAAACATCGAGAAAAAATATTAAGGATTCTAGACATGTATTTAAGATTCTAGGAATTGACAGGATGACACATGGAACCACTTTTAAACCAAACAGTAGTAGAACCACAGGAACAAGCAGGGATACCTTGGTGTAATAATCAAGATGATTGAATATCAATATAACTAGTACTAAAAAACATGTTTAAATTTGTACTGTATTTTGGAATGCAGTTGAGTGTATAATAGCTGCCAAATCTGTCTGCAAAAAGCCTTTTTACAACAGGCACACAATTAATAGATCCTGAAATTGCTTTGAGATTGTGTGAAAGAGCCTATGAAAAATTAAACAATTTTATAAAGAACAATTAGGATTTTTGGAGCTAGCATTACTTTCTAATTAGTAATTACCCATTAATTTTATCATTGTTTTTCTAACATCTCAGCTAAAACTTGAAAGGGGTCAGTGTCAAATTTCCTGATTTGAGGACAAAATTAATTAGAGGCAGTTACAATAAGCAACTCAATTTCATTTTAATCTGCTGAGTGTTGCTTTCCAGCAATGCACATTTTAGTCAACCAATTTTGTAACTAACAAAACTTGTAGCAGTCCTTAATTTGCACAAAACAGGAATTTCAATCTTATTGTTGTGTTTGTACATTAGCCTGTAAAGAAAAAATAATTCATTTCCATGCCACTTTTATTTATGAATTTGTTTTCCCTTCAGAACTCAGAAACAATGAAACACACAAGACTTAGAATAGGCACAGCAGTATAAAATGAGAAGCTGAGAAAAAAATGTATTGTGTATAAGAATATTGATACTTAACTGCAATTAATAGACTCCCATTATATACATCTCTAAAAAGGGCCCCCTCCACTGACATCAGTACCCAACATACACTGTGAAAGAAGTATTTAATATTGTGCATGATAAAGTCTGCTCCCTACTTGCTACTTCAGTAATACGTTCAATCTCGAGCTATAAATTACTAACAAATCAACTTTAGATCATCTGATGTAGTCTTAATATTAAAAAAAAAAGGGCAGTCTAATCCAAAACTATAATTTGTTGGATGTTACAGTGTCCATAAAGTAAAATTCAACAAAACATTACGCCAAGATATATTTGCAAAATAATAATATATCAGTATTTGATGATTTACAAAAAGAAAAATTACCTGTTTTTGTTAGCAAGAGATTATCCAGATGCCTGTCTCCAACTCCAAGGATATAGGTAATAACACAATAACCAGCTGCAATGACAAGTAAATTATAAACAATCAAAAATATTCCATATCCTGGATATTGTGTGTTCCATACTGTTCAGAATAGTAGGTTTGTCATTAGCTTAATTCTTGAAAAATGGATAAACTGGGGAATCAAGAACACAGTGAGGTATAAAGAGCAACTTTTGAAATAAAATGAAATGCATAGAGAAACGTAGTAGGTATCTTCTTATGTATTAATGAAATCCTAAAATCTAATACTGTATAGTTGTATGTACATTTACAAGGCTACATATGCTTAAAATCTGAAAGTCACCTTATTTCTTCTAACATTAGATCAGTATGGGATGATTTAATACACCATGAAAGTGAAACTAAAACAAATATTTTAAAGTCCTGCATATAGTATCGCTTACACAATTCTATTTGCCAGCGTTATACTGCTTTCACACTTGGCTCCTGTAATCTAATGGTGACAGTGAAGTTACAACTAAGTCATCAATGAGTCCCTAATGCCAACAATGTTCACAATATTAACATTAGAAATGGTGGAAAAAATTTCACTGGAATAATTTTTCTGACAAAAAAACCCAAGTTGGAAGAGTGTCTAGCTTGTGAGTAATAACACCTGAGGTTTCAAGAGGGAGACCAGTGCAGCAGCCTTTCTGTAATCTGCCTGCAACAATATCTAGGGTGAGAAATACTATTTGTAACCAATTTCTTTAGTGAAACTAGCTTAGTTTGCATGTTTGGTTTCATTTGCTTAGTAATCTGCTTTGTTCTGTTTGCTACCCCCTGTTACCAGTTAAAATCTGCCTTTTGTAGCTAATACATTTTTTTTTGTTTATAATATAACCCAGTTTCTGTAATTTCTAACTGGGGGGAGGGCTAGAAGTTGTGCATACCTTCTTCCACATTGAGGGAGGAGGCAGATTTCATAATATACTTTTGGGTCTGCATTCCAAAGGAGGTGGACACCTGAGTGCTGAAGCAAGTCCCTTAAACTGAGTCTTCCCAGAGCTGATCTGCAGCTGGGTGTGGCCCTGCCTGTGTGCATGTTAAAGGAGGCTTTAATAGCCTGGCTCAGCAAGATAGGTAAAGGGGGCCCATGCTGGCAGAACAGGAAGACTCAGTGGTATCTCAGCACATCAGGTGACTTCCTAAGGGGCATAACCCATCACACTGGCCTCATGTTGTTAGGCAGGAAAATAGATTTCCCAAACATATCTTGCAATCATGTAAGTGTTCACTGGTTATCCAATATTTATCAGTATCACTGTGCTACTATATTACTTAAATGATGAATTCCTCTCATTTCAGGTACTTGAAAAATGTGAAAAGTTAAAAATATCAATCACTGTTTTGTAATAAATTCTACCTACAATGCATTTGAACATTATTAAGTCTGCAGGTCCAATAGTGGCACACTACTGTCCTTTGTGCCAATAGTAGCACATCTAATCAGCAAGTAAACATTTGTAATAACTTACCACAGCTTTTAACATAAGTGTCCATCACTTCTGCACTTATCCCATTAGGACCAGTCTCACTTGGTGCATGTTTTCTGAAGAAATTCTGGAAGGACATCAAAACACTTACTTGCCCCATGAAGTTTTGAACTAACTTCAGGGCAGATAAAAAAGTTAGCAGTTTATGTCCTTGGTAAATCTATTACCATACTCTGTGAAGAGACACTTCTGGTATCAATCTTGCGACTTATAAGAATGTCAAGGTTGAATTCAATAATGTGTTATGTTCAAAGTTGTCAGATAACGTTACACACAAAAAATGTAGCAAGTTATGTTTTCATGCTACGGTTTAGATCTTTGTTCGCATTTTCTTATTCACCAAAGCAGAAACAGATTTAAAATCACTATCACAAACTGAAGTGCTCTTCCTTTAAAATAACCCATAAAATTAAATTTGCATTGCAGAGTTATTGCGTAATTACCATGAGCATCAAAAATGCTTCCATAGTAAATATATTTTTCTGCTAGACTAGAAAAAGCTAAACAGCACTAGCAATTCAAATTAATCTAAAAGTTGAGTAACATCTTAGGATAATGTGATGAACATTAGACAAACTATGCACTAATACTTTATGTCCCTTACGTCTACTCAAAATAAACAAGTCTAGTAATTTTACAGAAATAGTCACAAGGTTTAAAGTTGAAATTTGGAATGGAATTAAGCCTTTATCGAGATAGTCCATAACTGCCTTCTGGAGGAAACTGGTTTTGATTTTGCCAAGTTAGGAACATTTGAAAATCATGTACTGAGCTTGAGCAGTGGAGTTTTTTCATGAAGTAATCACCTAAAGAAAAGCCATTCAAGGATGTCAAGTATCAGAAGGGTAGCCGTGTTAGTCTGGATCTCTAAAAAGTAACAAAGAGTAACATGCATCTGACGAAGTGGGTATTCACCCATGAAAGCTTATGCTCCAATACATCTGTCAGTCTATAAGGTGCCACAGGACTCTTTGTTACCATTCAAGGATGTGCAGCAAAGTTATCAGTTAACTGGCTAGTACCCTATCTTACTGAAAATGGTCAGGATACAGAAGTGAAGGGCCCTTGTCGATACTGTAAGGTATAAAAGTGCAGGCTTTTGAAGTGCTGTACAGGAGAAACTCCTGCTCTGGTATGCCTTGGGAATTTAGTATGTAGTGTAGAATCCCAGGATATTAGACAGAAAATGTGGGTGAGGTGATATATTTTATTGGACCAACTTCTGGTGGCGAGACAAGCTTTTAAGCCACACAGAGCTCTTCTTCAGATAAACGTACTCAGTATCACATCTAAAATGCAAGGTGGAACAAATTATTCAGCATAAATAGTTAGCACATATTCTAATCTAAAGGACCATTCAAGGTCGAGTGGCCTGTGACCTCTGCAGTCCCAGGACAAAAAGAGGGGGTTAGCAGGTTATAGATTGTTGTAATAAGCCAGGGGTCAGCAACCTTTCAGAAGTGGTGTGCAGAGTCTTCATTAATTCACTCTAATTTAAGGTTTCGCGTGCCAGTCATATATTATAACGTTTTTAGGTCTTTTTCTATAAGTCTATAATATATAACTAAACTATTGTTGTATGTAAAGTAAATAAGGTTTTTAAAATGTTTAAGAAGCTTCATTTAAAATGCAGCGCCCCCTGGACCGGTTGCCAGGACCCGAGCAGCGTGAGTGCCACTGAAAATCAGCTCGGGTGCCGCCTTCGGCACGCGTGCCATAGATTGCCTACCACTGTAATAAGCCATAAATCCCATGTCTGTGTTCAGTCCATGATTTTTAATGTTTAGCAGAGTTATGAATTTAAGCTACCAGGCTTATCTTTTGAAAGCATTGTGCGGGTTTCCTTTGAGGACAAGGACAGATGGGTCAGACAAAGTAATTGTTTTATGAAAAGTGTTCACCCACAGGTCATATGGTGTTTTTGTCTTTTATCATTTTCCTGTGAGAGTTCATTCAGGAATGCAGTGAGGGAGGAGAAGTGGAGTTGAGCAGGGTGCTCGTGGGAGGGGGAGGAGGAGCAAAGGTGAGCTGGGATGGGGAGCGGTTCCTCTTCGCGCCCCCCCCCCCCTTACTTGCTGCAGCCCCAGCTCACCTCTGCCTCCACTTCCTACCACGAGCACGCCGCTCAGCTCCGCTTCTCCTCCCTCCCAGGCTTGCCGTACAAAACAGCTGATTGGCGCGGCAAGCTGGGGGGGGGAGGGGGGAAGAGCGCGGAGCTGCGGTGTGCTCGTGGGAGGAGGCGGAGCGGAGGTGAGCGTGGGGGGGGGCGGGGAGGGCTGCAGCAAGTAACGGGGGGGGGGGAGCGCAGAGGAACCGCTCCAGCTCATATCCACCTCCTCCCCTGAGCGTGCCGCTGCCACTCCGCTTCACCCCTCCCCCGTTCTAGGCTTGCCGGGCCAAACAGCTGATTGGCGTGGCAAGCCAGTAAAAGCGGTTCCTCTCCCTATCCCGATATAACACAGTCTCACCTATAACACAGTGAGATTTTTTGGCTCCCAAGGACCGCGTTATATCGGGGTAGAGGTGTACCACGTATGGATTCCAGTGTGAGGTAGTAGGTGACAACTAAGGATGTACAGTTGGAGAGGGTATTATTTCTGTATTGAAGCAGGTTCTCAGAGTATTTGGGTGGTGCATTCCATGATGCAATCTACTTCTCTGGTGAAGTATGTTTGGTTGGTGGTTTTGAGCATGTTAAGGTGTATAACCTGGACTTTCTCGTGGAGCATATTCTGTAATATCTGAGTGTCTGTAGATAACAGATTTCTTAGTGTGTTCGGGTAGTTACTGGATCTATGAAGGTAGGTGTGCTGATGAGTGGGTTTCTTGTACATGGTTATCCATAGGGTTCCATTGTTGAAGCTGATTGTGGTGTCCAGGAAGTTGATGCTAGTGTGGGAGTTTTCAGTAACAAAAAGCACTGGTATGTATCTCAACTGACTGTTCTAAAGTTTTTGCTACTATGAACTCCTATAACAGACCTACAACTAGAAAACAAAGCAGTACAGAACAAGACCAATAACTATCAGTTACTAGTTGAGTCTTATCCTGAATTCTTCAACAATATTAATTTTACAGTCATTAAATATCCATGCTGCATACTCATGCAAAAGATCTGCAATATGAAGACACTGTTCCCAAATGAATGAAAAAAAAAAAAGAAAGAGACACCAGATCATATACCTGTATACTTTCTTCAGTAGCAAGAACTTCAGCAACCGGGACTGACTGAATAAACTGCATGAAACCTGTGAAAAGAAAGCAGTATCTTCAGTAGTTGAAGGTGTAAAATAAGGAGAACACAACTTTGGTGAAGAAATAAAGCTATGCACCTTTTACTCCACTGCAGTCAGCAAGCAAGGTTTTGCCAGTAAACATAGCCTGTAGTAAATTTTAAATATACTTGTCACAACACCACAACTGCTTGACCCAGGCTGGAAAGATATCTGGCTTGTGAAGAAATCAACCGAAGACAATATCTGGAGTGAGGAATGACTATTTGTAACCGATTTCTTTAGTGAATCAAATTTAGTGCTTTATTTTATTTGCTTGGTAATCTGCTTGGTTCTGTTTGGTGGCACCTTAAAGACTAACAGATTTATTTGGGCATAAGCTTTCGTGAGTAAAAACCTCACTTCTTCGGATGCATAGCTATGCATCCGAAGAAGTGAGGTTATTACTCACGAAAGCTTATGCCCAAATAAATCTATTAGTCTTTAAGGTGCCACCAGACTCCTTGTTGTTTTTGTAGATACAGACTAACACGGCTACCCCCTGATACTTGACACCGTTTGTTACCTCTACCACTTAAAATTCACCTTTTATAATCTAAAACTCAGTTGATGTAATTTGTAACTGGGGGACAAGAAGTTGTGTAGATCTTCCTCCACATTAAGGGAGGGGGCGGATTTCATAAAACCTTTGACAGGTTTCAGAGTAGCAGCCGTGTTAGTCTGTATCTACAAAAACAACAAAGAGTCTGGTGGCACCTTAAAGACTAACAGATT